CCCCCCTCTTCTCTCACGCCCCACCCCAGGGTCAGCATGTTTCTGCAAAGGAGATCAAGATCCCGGTTTCCAAGTGTACTAAGGGGCACGGGATCCTAGAATGCCACGGGTCATCTATCCCTGCTTCCCTTTATGTATGGGAAACAGAGCTGGGAGAGTAGGAAGAGTAAGTGGCTCCTCTGAGGTCACACAGCAGGATGGGGAGCCTGGCCAGCCCCCCTACTGCGCCACGCTGTCTCATGGAGGCCTATCTTAGGCAGCCTGCTCTCTGGCTGGCAAGGCAAGTCAGCCCCCAGCGCGGCCTACTGAGGGCACCATCCATGCGGTAGGCGCAGTGCAGGGACCAGGGCCCCAGAGCCCTTTAGAAGCGGGTGTGCTCTGCCTGATGAGCCCCATTCCACACTCATGAGTCTGGAGCACTGCTTTTATTCAGGCACCTCACGCCCAGGCCAGGGCCACACCTATTCTCTGAGAACCACATGTAGCTTGTCACCAGACGGCCAGATCTTGTCTCAGATTCACCAAACTCCTTCCCACGCGTAGGGCCCCTCTTCTCTGGTCACACTGAACACGCCCCGCCCCCGCCCCCTGTTGACCAGTGAAGTGGACTTGCACCAGGAGGGTGGTCCCCTCTCATTCTGGGGCCTCTCTGGGCATCCCCAATTCCCGTGTTTTCAGGAGTGCAGTAGCCTACCTGCTGGTCTCATTCCTGGAGGAGGGAACAGAGGTGCCCAGCAAAGCCCCGGGGAGACTTTGCACAGGGCTCAGGAGTTGGGCACCTTTTCTCCTCCCCTCTTCGTCTCCGCTTGGTCTGGCTTCTTCAGCCTGATTGGCCCTGTGCCTGCATTGCCTAATGTAGCCATCAGAGACTCCTTGAAAGAGGAAGCGGGCAAAGGCCACCTGGGCAAGAGCGGCTTTTTCACTTGTGTTTCCAGGTCCAAAGACCCGGGGAGGGATTGTGGAGGGGAGGGCTCTGCTTGTGAGCAAGAAGCGGTGTGGAGACCTGGCCATTCTGAGGGGTGTGATCCCCAGAGCAGGGAGGATGCAGGTTGGGCCCAGGCTGCTTGGCTGTGCAGGAAAGGTGGGCTTCGTTGGTCAGAAGCTTTGGCTCTGAAGTCGGCCATCCTCCAGGCATTATGAAGTCAGGACGCTACAGAGTCCCACCCAGAGGACTCTGGGGCATAGGGCCCCCACTCTGGGAGGAATGCCCGTCCACGCTAGTGGCAGGCCGTGCCTGTGGCCGTGTGGCCGTGGATGGCATTGTGCCTTTGCGCCCGGGGCTCCTCTGGTGAGCTGAGTTAGCAAGCTGTACCAGCTGTGGGGTTTCATCCCGGGCTGCTCACTGATTCTGTCTGGGCTATGAACGGGATGGGGCCACTGGACAACCGAGGTTCTGCCCCGAAGGCTGACAGGGAACCCCCTTTTTTTTCAGTTGACGTTCTGCCATTTCCACCTTGGGCTTGAGCAGAATAAACTTCAGTGGGTACCATGGGAGCTGGAGGGACCTTGTTCTCCTAAGAGGGAGGAGGCACATTCTAGCAGGTCCCAGGCACTCTTCCCAGTGGGCTATTTAAAGAGAGGCCCCGGGGGTGCCTGATGCCTGGTGCCCAATATAACCAGCAGTCGTCAGGTGACCGTGCGGTATGTTCCTCAGCCGTGGTTCTGTAGGGAGTCCCAGTTCCCAGCTGTGACCCAGGAAACGTGGGTACTCTGAGGCTGGCTGCTTCTTGTCCCTTTTACTTTCTCAGGTTTGGAGGGAGGAAGACAGGGAAGGCCAGAGCGGGTACTGATGATCGCGTTTATCTTTCTGGTCTATCTCAAGGAGATAGGAGGGTCATCCATTCTCCTTCCAAAACTGTACTTCCCCATGAACCAAGGCAATCAGAGTCCGTCCCAGCCCTATGAGGCTCGGGAGTGCTTTGGTTGGAAGCAGCCTAAGCAAGTGGCTTCCCATGGCCCCAGGAAGGGAGAGCAGCCTTGGCTGCCTGTGTGTGGCCCTTCTAGGAACCTTTGGAGGGTGCTCAGTGGCTGAAATGGCAGCCCATGGCAGGGGAGGTGAGCCGGGCAGAGGTGAAGGCTGGCAGAGTGAGAGGGACCAGAAAACATTCCTTTGTGTGGCATCTCCTGGCACAGAGAACCTTGTGACAGAGCAGGCAGGCATCCTGCAGGCCAGACAGCTGCCACTGGGTCCTGAAGCTTCCCTGTTTCCTCCTTGCAAAACTGATATTCCAACCCCAGGGGCCCTTTGTGGAAGAGAGCAGGCAGCAGGCCGGCCTGTTTACGACTGATAAGTGGTGTGCTGATGGCTCGGGGCCCCTGTCATCTTGTCATGGTGGGTTGCAGCCACTCTTGCCCCACCGGGCCCTGTCTTGTTTGAGAAACAGCTAGGATGGGGCAAACTGATGGTTGTGGCAGATTTGCGGGGTCCAGGGGCCTGACCAGTAAGGCAGAGGTGTCCACTGGGCACTGCATCAAGCCTTAGATGATGCCCTTTTCTGCCTTGGCTCCAAGTTGCTGTGGGAAGTAGACATTTGAACCCAGAGCAGTCCTGCTTCCCTAACCCCGTGGCTTTCCAGGACCGGAGGAGGCACTTCCTGCTGCTAGGGATGGTTCCCCCAGCCCCAGAAGCCAGGCATCACCCTGCTGTTCCAGCTCAGCACCTGTGTTCAGGGGACCCAGACCACCTATGTCCTGTGGCTGCAGGGACTCAGCTCCCCACCCGCTTGCCTTGCAGATCCGAGCCAGCAGGGGTAGGCCTGGGCTCACCGCTGCGCCCTTCCCTTACCCAGCCCTGCCCACTGCCTGCAACACGGAACTGGCGCCTGGCCCCTCTCTGCCATGCCTGGCTCATCGCTGCAGGGCTTTTAGTCTCCCCAGCCACCAACCCAGGCCAAATCCCACAGCCTCTTATGAGCCAAGAACACTTGGACTGATCCTTGGTTTCCACTTTTCCCTAGATTGTTGTTTTTCTTTCTAAGTAGATATTAGCCTGTTTGCTTTGGGGGAAACATCTGGGGGGCGGGGAAGGGAGACTTTAACCCTAGGGTGGGAGCAGGGAGGCAGGAGGAGCAGGCAGCCTTGGCTCATGGGGCCCTGCCCAAGGGGGCTGCCCCCGGGGCTGCTCGAAGAGCCGTCTTGGGCTCAGCATTCCAGTGGCACGGCAGAGGGCCAAATACCAGGCGGGTCCTCCACCAGCCTCACCATCATCGCCTTCTCCCCACCCCACCCTCAGAGTCAGGCCCTCATGCTTCTGGCGCAGCATTCAGGGAGACTTGGGAGCTCACGGGATTCCAAATGGGCCCAGGGAGGAGCACCTGGGCTTAGCTCTGAGCTGAGGACACCTGGCAGTGAGTGGGCCAAGCCCCTCACGCGAGGCGGCAGCTGCCTCGCTGATGCAGGACACAGATGGGCAGAGCTGCTGCGGGTCCCGCCACGTTCCTGGGGGGCGCGAACTGGCGGGGCAGACCCTGCGCCGAGCCGCCTCCACTGGGAGAAAGCAGGCACACAGAGGGCTCTGCATTGATCCTGGGAAAAAGGGAAGCTCAGCGGGCAGGCAGCAGTTCTCTCCCAAGCCAGGAAGGCCAAATCCCTTGTTTAAGCCCCCGAATAGAACAAGCTTAAACTAACTTGCAGAGTAAGCAGGCACTCGGGGCCCCTCTGCGTGCTCAGCAGGCCGGGAGGAAAGCACTCAGCCCGTGTCCCCCCAGTGCCGGGTCCCAGCAAAAGAAGGGAGAGCCCACGTTTAAATGAAGTTGCACCCCCGTGAGCCTCTGTGTTCCAGGTAGATGGTGGCTCTCCACCCTTGGGGCAGGGGACCCTGGCTGCCCCGCATCCCCCCCCCCCCGCAACCCTATCATCTGTGGCTGGCACCACTCACCTAGGAACTCGGGTGTGGGGTTGGGGGGCAGCCGCACGTGCCGGGGAGCCCAGCAGCCTCCTGGGCCTGTCTTCGGCCCAGCCACCACCTCTTCCTTCCTTCTCGGATGCCTCTTTCCTGACCTGCCCCTGGGCGCCTTCCTCAGAGCGTGTGGAACTCCCGGCTGCTGACAGCCAGCTGCTGTCTCGGCCTCAGCTTTTCTGTTGTTGGTCGTCCTGGAGATCCAAGTGTCAGGTTACATGGGGCGGTCACCAAGTGGGGGGGGGGGCAGTGCCACTGCCTCCTCTGCCCCGGTGAGGGAATCCCTGCTGGGACCTTGGCGGCTGGCTTCAGGCTCCTGTGCGCTGTGCTGCCCCTGGGAGGTCTGGCTGGGCGCGCTCGGCTCTCCTGTTCCTCCTCTTCCTCTCCTCTCCCTCTGGGCGGGTGTGTGCTAAGCCATTATGGGCTGGGCCTGGGCCGGGAGCTGATAAAAGAGGAGGTCCGCTCTCTTGTTCCCTGGGAGGCTCCACCTGAGCCTTGGGGTGGCGGAGGGAGGCCGCACAGCACTCCCAGCTCTTGGGCCCCCTCCCTACCCTCAGAAGGGCTCTGGGCCCATCCCCCCCAACCTATTTCTCTGGAGACTCCCTGGCTGGTCCCGCCCTCTGGCCCCTCTGAAGAAAAAAAGTGAATAGTGGGGGAGATGCCAGCCCACCCACAAGGCCAACCCCCTGGGGAGGCATCTTGGGGAAGAACTTGGGGGTGACTCGAGAGTAACCTGAACGTGGCCTGCTTGCCCGGGGAAGTGCCTGGTGTTCCTCAGCCCCAGGAGGAGGGAGGACCCTACTGATCAAAGTCTTTCCAATGGGTGTTTGCTGGAGCTGTCCCCGCACGCCTGGCCCTGGCTGGCAGGGACGGGCTCCAGGGCTCAGTGGCTGGCAGGGCCCTTTGACATTTGGTTGGTTGTGCCACCCCAGCAGGACAGGAGCCGACCCCAGCCCGCATCTGTGAGCTCTCAATGGAGCCCTTTGAGTGTGAGCACAAAACCCCAGTGAGTCCGGGCTTGAGGGAGGGTGGGGGGAAGGAAGCCAACCGTGTAGCCACACCACTTGGATGCCAGAGCCTCCCAGAGGCTGGACAGGCGGCCACTGTGCAGATGCACAGACTGGCGATGCAAAGAGTCCCATGGTGATTTAGGAGTGGCAGGAACAGTGCCCTCTGGTGGCTGCCTGGGCCCCCTTGCCATCTCCTGCCGTTCAAAGCTGCATTCTCTAAACAAGGCAGCCAGACCCCACTTCCTAGGGCCTGTGTAACCATCAGCTCTTGTTCCTGGTGCCTGCCCCTCAGGGGCTCAGCTCCTGAAAGTGTTTCTTGCAGTTCCAGGCGGTGCCCACGTTGAGAGGCGTTCTGGTTAGTGACGCCACCTATGCTTGTCCCCGGCCGGGATGTGGTGCCTGGACAGCTCTCCCTCTGCCGCCCAGTCTCGCAGGCTCCCCTACCCCGTGCCACATTCCTGCAGCAAGACTGGCCCTTGGGAAGGGCCCTGAGAGATCTGTGGCCCCTTCGGGGGCCTCTGCAGCTGCCCCAAGGACCAACTGTGCCCCCATCCTGGGACTCATAGGAGAGACAGCTGGAGTCTGGTACCCGCAGCAAGGGGGCTGTGGCAGGGTTGAGGCACTGGGGGGTGTGATGAGACTCCTGCCAGGGCTGGTCTCCTCGCTGCCCTCACAGTGAGCAGCGTACGATGCCGGCTCTCAGAGCTGCTGGTTTCTGCTGTCGGGCAGTCTCCCAGCTCCGGGCTGCATACGCAGCCTTCTTGGGAACAAAGAAGGTTGCCAAGAGATAGAAGCAGGGCAGAGTGCTGACGCAGGGGTAGGGCCACGCTGTGCTGGTCCTCCCGTCCCCCGCCTCCGGGAAAGGGTGAAGAGTCATAAAGAGGGCCTGCTGGGTGCCGTGCGCCATGCCTCAGAGCGCCATCTCCCCCAGGCCTGCAGGAACGTGTGGGCTTTGAGCCGTCCAGTGCTTCCCCTAAGGATCTGTGCCCAGAGCCGCAGCTACTCCCAGGGCGCCCCCCCGCCAGAGGGCAGAGGAGAGAGCAGGAGGCCAGGACCTAGAGGAGCAACCTGTAGTGAAGCAGGACAGAGTGGGGGTCACACCCTGGCTCCTCCGGATGTGTTGTATGACCTTGGGAAAGCTCCTTCACCTCATTGTCGTCATCTGTAAAATGGGTGACCAAATGATGCCTTGTCGGGCTCGTACAGCAGGGGGGGTGTGAGATACTGAGTGTGGTGTCCACGTGTAAAGCTCCTCGGCCGGAGTGTAGGGAGTGGGTGGGTGAACGCTGGCCTGCCTGGGTCCCTCACCCCTCACCTCTGCTGCGCTGCCCCTGCCAGGTGCCGCCATGCTGCCATTGCCAAGTACTTTGGGGATGCGCCCCCTGCCTGCACCAAGGGCTGTGACCACTGCCGGGACCCTGTGGCCCTGCGGAAGCAGCTGGAGGCCTTGGAGCACAGAAGCAGCTGGAACAAGACTTGCATCGGGCCTTCCCAAGGGAATGGCTTTGACCCTGAGCTGTATGAGGGAGGCCGCCGGGGCTATGGGGGCTTCAGCAGGTGAGGGGCTGTGAAGTCAGTCGGGGCCCCCAACCCACTGCAAATAGGCTGGCCTCCCCCCTTGTGCCAAGGCACCCCGGTGCCATCGTTCACTCCCTGTCCCCGTGGGCCATGTCGGAGCTAGGAGCTTGGTGTTGTTCCTACCTGCCAGGCTATCAGAGACATCAGTGCCCCACCAGAAAAGCATGACAGGAGGGCAGAACCCAGGCCCAGGGCTGCTTACACCTAGCCTGTCCCCTAGGTACGACGAAGGTTCTGGAGGTAGTGGGGACGAGGGCAGAGATGAAGCCCACAAGCGGGAATGGAATCTCTTCTACCAGAAACAGATGAGCCTACGCAAGGTGAAGGGGATGGGGGCCTGCTGGGGTCACAGGTGGTCCCCCGTTCACATGCCCTCAGCCCCTACCCTGGAGCTGGATGGGGGGGCTGTCCTACAGCTAAGTGAGATGCCTCATAGGCCCTTCATGTCATCTTCCAGGGCAAAGACCCCAAGATAGAAGAATTTGTGCCCCCAGGTTAGTACAGAAATGTCCCCAGGGGCTTTTGGGCTATTCCTAGGGTATAGATGTCTCATTGGGGGGCTGGGGACTCCAGAAAGCAGAGGTAGAGTGGACGGACCCACCCCTCTTTGCACCCCCCCCCCCAGATGAGGACTGTCCCCTGAAAGAGGCTTCTAGCAGGAAGATCCCCAGACTCACTGTGAAGGTAAGCGGTGGACAGCTCCTCACACCCGCCCCCCGGACTCCTTCCCCAACCCTGAGGCTTGAGTGACCGACTTCCCTCCCCTGTGTAGGCCCGTGAGCACTGCCTGGGGCTTCTGGAGGAGGCTCTGAGCAGTAACCGCCAGGCCACAGGTACCACCCATGGGTGAGTGACCTGGGTCACAGGGGCCAAAGAGGCTTCCCCAAGCCCCTGTTCCTTGTAGACCACAAGAACCCCCATCCCCTCTGGCTTATTTGGGCACCTCTCCCGCAGATTGTGCCCCACCCTTCTCCCAGTGCCTGCAGGACAGTAAGCCCCCCGGGTGCCTGGGGTCCGGGTCAGAATCCCTGTGCCCATGGCCATTCCCACCAGGCCCGAAAGTCATCTCCAGGGTCCCCAGGGAGAATCCCATAGGAGCTCCACAGAGAGAGGGCTCAGGCCCGCCTGACGCCTAGTGCTCCTTCCTATCCTCAGACCCGATCTCCAGGCCAAGGCTGTGGAGCTGGAACATGAGATGTTCCGAAATGCCAAGGCGGCCAACCTGTACAAGGCCAGTGTGCTGAAGAAGGTGGGCGCTGGGCAGGGCATGCTTCTGGGCTAGGGTGGGAGAGACAGTCCCTCCAGCCTCCCAGGCTGTCTGCCTTCCTGCTGCCAGAAGGCCGCTTACACGAAGGGAGCCTGACCTCCCTTTGCCGGCTGGAGGTGTTTCCAGCCAACCCCGTCAGGACTGGAATTCGACCAGTGTCCAGTTACCTGCAGCCACGAGCCCCAGAAGCCCACTTGTGGAAAGCCTGGGTTGGAGCTCTCAGGAGCTAGTGGGTGTCACGGCGTCCCTGCCTGTCCCTGAATCAGGTGGCGGAGATCCACAGAGCCTCCAAGGATGGGCAGCTCTACGACGTGGGGAGCAATACCAGGAGTTGCAGTGCGCAGGCCCAGCCCCCAGAGCCCACCGAGTATGACATCCGGCCGGCCTCCCAGGTGTACTCGGTGAGCAGCGTCCTGGCATCCACCCCAAACCTGGGTCTGGGAAAGGCATCACGTCCTTTGTCCTCAGCCAGGGCATGGCTGCTTGCCTTCTCCTGGCATCACAGCCCTGGCCCTAGGCGCCCCGCAGCAGACCCTCCAGCTTCCCTCTGCAGCCCCCACAGCTGTGCTCTGCTCCGCCTGACCGCCCTGAGCTGTCCTGCCGGGTCTCTCCCTCCCCACTCCCAAGAGCCCACCAGCTCAGCCATTCCTGGACCAGCCCATGAGTGCCCTCAGAACCCTTTCTGTCCTTCACAGCTCAAACCCAAGCGGGTAGGAGCTGGTTTCCCCAGAGGCTCCTGCTCATTCCAGACGGCCACTGAGCTGATGGAGAAGATGTGGGCTGAGGAGCAAGCCCCCCAGCCAGTGTGGGGAGGTGAGCAGGAGCCCCACAGCCTCCAGGGGGACTACAATGAGCCCCTCCCTGGGCCCAGAGGAGAGGCCCTTGGAAGCAGTGCTCATTGTGGGGGGTCCTCCCCTGAGAAGAAGGTGAAAAGCCCCTCCAAGGGCGGTGCCAAGGCCCGGGCCAGCAAGAAGCAGCAGCTCCTAGCCGCAGCGGCCCTCAAGGATTCACAGAACATCGCCCGCTTCTGCCAAAGGGCCAGGAGCCCATCTCCCCTCACCTCAGCCCCAGGGGCAGAAGGTGCCGGCCCTTCCTGTGAGGGAGTACAGGGACCCCCAGCAGCCCCAGAGAAGTGCACAAGGGAGGATGGAGCCCTGGGGTGTTTGGCTGCGCTCCCCCAGACCAAGGAGTGCACCGGGGAGAGGCCAAGGTAAGGGCCCTGATAGTTCTGAAATTCTCTGGAATCCTTTTTGCTAACTGGGCCTCTGAAGCTCTGGCCGTTCCTAGGGTGCGCTCTGCTGGGCCGGCTGAGCTGAGGGTGCAGCTGGTGGCTGGGGTCCTCATGCCTGCTCTCCCCTCTGGCCAGAGCCTGCACACTCAGAGACCAGGGGCCCCCTGAAGGCCAGTCCACCCCCACAAAGGAGACACACAGGGGCAAGCGGTCCAGACCCCAGCAGGTACTGACAGGGACAAGGCCATAGGGGAGGAGGCCTGTAGACCAGGCCGATACCTGTTCTGCTCTGGATAAGGGGTTTGGGGAAAATCATCTTTTTTACATCCCAGGGATAGACGGGACAGGCTGGAGGAAGCCAGCGGATGCTGAGGCCCAGTCTTCCAGAACGAGGGGAGGGGCCAGTGACAGGGAACCCAAGAGTGACTCTCCACTCTGGTCCTACACAGGAGAACCCAGAGAACCAGGCTCAGAAGAGGCCTCGCCCCTCAGCCAATGCCTCCATCTTAGCTGAGGCCAAGGAGAGCAGCTCGGCCAGCAATCAGGGCACCTTGAACCCCACAGCCCAAGATTCCTGCCTTCTCCCAGCCCCTGGCATCTCCCTCAAGGAGGCTGCAAATGTTGTGGTCAAATGCCTGACCCCTTTCTACAAGGAGGGCAAGTTTGCATCCAAGGTAAGGTAGATGGGTGGGTTCTGCCCTCCGCTGGGCCTGGGACACTTGGGCGCCGTGGGGGCAGGGAACAGAGCCAGAGGACAAAGCAGGGTAGAAGCAGGCTAGTCCTGAGGTTGACTGCCTCCCTCCCTGGGGTCTGCCTTCCCCTTGGGTCATGGCTGAGGGCCACTGGAGGAGGGGGGCAGGGTAGGGGTCTGTGCTCTTTGCTCCTGTCACCCTCTGCCTCCAGGAATTATTTAAAGCCTTCGCCCGCCACCTCTCACACTCGCTGGCTCAGAAGGCCTCTCCTGGAAGGAGCGGTAAGTGCCCACGTCACCAGGCCAGAGGTGTTTGCGGGGCTTGGTGGCGGGGAGGGGACTGGCCCTCACGTTCCCGCTTCCCGAATCTGTAGTGAAGGAAGAGGCCCAGAATTTCATCAAGCAGTTTTTTCACGGTCGGGCCCGGTGCGAGAGTGAAGCTGACTGGCACGGCCTATGTGACCCACAAAGATGACCAGCTCCTGCCCACTAGGGCCAGAGTGCTCCCCCAGCCTCAGCTGTGGGCCAGCCTGGGCCTCACTCAGGAACAGGGAAGGTGGAAAGCCTGCAGCCATCAGGGGCCTCCTCTTTGCTCAGGGGCCATACCTTCCAACCACACCTTGCTTTGGAGATGGCCCCAGTCACCTCCCAAATCAAGCCCAAGGGACAGAGGCCAGCCACTTTCTGCTTGCAGGGTCTCAGGTCTTCTTCCGCCCAGCCTCCCTGCCTCTTGGCTGGGTTTTCCGAACCAGATCCCCATATTAGAAGCTTGGGGCGGGGTGGGGTGTGTGTGGCAGGAGGGAAGAATTGTAGGCCAGGGCGACGCCACCTGTCTGAGGCATTGGGCCGCCTCAGGAAGAGCCTGCTGGCCTCGGCTTCTTGGCCCACTGCCCTTTTCCCTTGCGATGCCAGCCTGTGGCCTGGCCCCAGGTGCAGAGCTTGGGAGCAGGGCAGCAACCAGGCCCTGCTCTCTGCTCAGCTCCTGGTCAGGAAGGCCGGGCCGGACGGAGACTTAGCAGAGAAATAAAGTCCTGTTGGTTTTGAAACACACCCCCACAAACACAGCCTTTTTCTCTTGGGAGTTTTATTTCCTCACTGTTTGCTTCCCCCAGGCCTGGATTCGTGCTGATGTTAGCCAGGGCCTGGGGCCAGCTGGGCACCCCCCCCCCTTCCCCAGCCTGGGCAGCATCAGATGCCCAAGCGAGTTCCTGCAGCCCCTGCTCCAGGCCCCCCCAGGGGGAGTCCTGCTGCTTTCTCAGCTGATGTCACTGGAGCAGCTCCTGCCTCGTGGCCTCCACGTGGGCCAGCAGCGCTGTGCTGTGGCAGGTTCCAGAACAGCCAAGTGGGGAAGTCCAAACCAAAATGGCCTGACAGCACCCAAGGGAGACCTTCCCTGTCAGACTTGGACCTGGGAGGGGGCCCCTTCCTCATCTCCTCCCCTCCTCCATTCCTCTTGGGTGAGGCCGGCCGCTAGTTGGAAGCGAGGCTGCTGTCCAGCAGGAAGGTGATGGTGTACTTCAGCTCCTGGGCCTGCCCGGGGAACAGGCATGTGAGGACAGGGCTCCCCAGTGTGCCCCCCGCCCTGGCCCACACCACACCTGAGCCCCAGGCATGAGCGTGGGCCCAGGCTCCGGGCATGCCAGGCCCGGGTCAGGCACTCCCCACCTTGCCAGGGTGTCTGTCGTCAGAGGCCCCGGCCACTCACCTTGGGCAGCTCAAACCAGATGGTGTGGGGGCTGTCAGCAGAGCCGTAGTTGAGTTCCAGGCCAGGGGGCCCCCTACTCTCCAGGGGGCTCAGCAGGTGGAGCCGGTGCAGGTCCCTCAGGGCGATGGAGCAGCACCGTTTCTGAGGCAGCAGAGACAGCAGAGCCTGGGGTCACCATGGGGGACGGGAGAACGGCACAAGGGTGCTCAGACTGGTACTGGGGCAGGAGCCTGCCCACCTGGCTGTAGGGGTCCATGAGGATGAGATGCTGGCGGTTCAGTCCCAGGAGGCTGGGTCCGGGCAGGGCCAGTTGACTCACCCGCAGCACCACATAGACAGTGTAGCCAAAGAGGGGCAGCTGGCTCACAGCCTCTGGGAACGGAGGGGCCAGGATAGGTGTTCTGGCCGTTCGGGCCCTGGGACCTGCCCGACTTGGCCCCCAGGTTGGATGAGCGGGGGCAGGGCAGGTAGAGAAGCTTCCTCAGCCCCTCCACCCCCCCTTCCCTTCTGGGCCTCTTGCCTCGGCCCCTGCAACTCCCGGGCCCCAGACCCACCGATGAAGTTGATCTGTGCTTCTTGGGAGCTGCAGACTTGCAGCTGCCTCAGCTCCTGGTCCATCAGGTTCTTTATGATGGCTACGTTCACCTTCGATTGCAGCGGCTTTGGCAAGTAAGCCAGCAGGTCTCGCCTAGGACACAGACCGGTCAGTCAAGGCTGGGTATACAGCAGGGGCTAAATAAATGAGCAGGGGCTACTGTGAGTGAGATTGGGGATCCAGACTTACGAATGAGGCCTGGGCCCTGCCTATGAGGAGCTTGGGGTGGGCAGGTCAGGTGTACATAACCTCCACGACTCCAGGCCCATCAGGTTAAGGCCATGAAGGGTACAAGTTGAGCAGCCTTGACATTGGAAGATCGGGTGGGCGATGCAGGGGCTGAAGGAGAGGCCCTTAGGGTATGTGCTGAGGTGGGCCTCAGCACCATCAGGGACCAGGGGTGGCAGGAGGTGTGGGGCCGTGTGCACACTCACTCCGACAGGTGGTCCTCTTGCTCCTCTTGGGGCTTGCTACGGTGCTGCAGGGCAGCCAGCCTGGCGAGTCGGGTGCTGGCCTGGGGGCTGACCAACAGCTTCCCCTGTAGGTAGTCCTGCAGCACCTGAGAGGGGACGGCAGTGAGGGGAAGGAGGCCTGGACATCCCCCACCCAGGCAGGGCTTCATTTGCAAGCTGCAGCCCAGGGTCAAGCCACCAGCTGGCTGGGGTTGGGGGGTCACGGGGTTGCGGCAGCTGACCTGCATGTAGTGGGTGGTGATGTAGGTGGGGTTATCGAAGTGCAGCGGGGCCTCCCAGCCGAGCCGCCGGCTGTGCAGGCTTATGTCCTGATCCACCACGTTGTTGAGGTACTCATGGGGCCACAGGGGCCGCACCAGCTCGCCTGCGTGGGGAGCCCAGGTCCACAGCCTGCCCTGACATCCAGGGCCAGCCCTGCCCGCAGTCCTGCCAGCCCCAGCCTGGGAACTTGCTCGCACGCACACAACCGGCAGGTAAGCCGCCTCCTGGAACCCAGCCTGCCCCCCCCCCGCCCAGGCGAGGGGCTCACCTTCCCTTTTGATGAAGAGGGCAAATTCCTGCACTTCCTGGGGGTCCGTGATGCCCATTTGCAGACATAGCTCCTCCAGCACTTCTGCCACCACCTGGGCCATGTCGACAGGGCCGGGTGTGATGGGGGCAACTAGGCTGGGGTGGGGGAGGCCCAGAACTGATGCCACAGCTTTCCTGTCTCTCCCCAGCCCCTCTTCCCTGGCCCCATGCTCACCGCGAAAGTCCGGATACTGGTTTTGTAATCCATACTCCCTGGCAGGTGAATTATAAGCGAGCGGATTCCTTGCCCTTTCTGCCAAGGCAGGTTGTAGGGTCGGTCCACCAGTGGCCAGAGGCCCCAACTCCCTGTCCCCCACCAGGGAGTTCCATGATGCCCAGCCTCCTGAACCCGCCACCGCCGCCCCCCTCCCCAGTACCAGGAGAGCCTGAGTTTCGCCTGGGGAGGGCAGCTGCCGGCGCCCCCCATATTTGACTGTGCGCTGGAGGTGTTCCTGACTGTTCCAGGCCAGCTCTGCAGAGGGGAAGCAGGCGGGTCACAAGCATCTCCAAACCCCTCCCCAAGCTGCTGAGACCCCAGCCTGGAAGGCCCTCCCCTAGGCACCTTGGCTTGGGCCTGAATCCTGCAGAAACTTGGTTACGTAGGGCATCAGCGTGGCTGACGGGGCAAAGAAGCCTGTCAGGAGGCTGAGGAAGCTCCAGCCGCGAGCACAGTGTTCCCTACAGGGCAGAGAGCCTGGGCTTCAGGCTGGCCAGACCATGCCCCAGCCCTGGGCCGCCCTCTGCCACTGCCCCCCAGCCCTGCATACTCACGGCCGAGGGTGTCTGGTGACCTGCTTGATGACTTGGCAGTAAATCTCATCCCTGAGGTTCTCCTTCTCCCGGCACAACTGTGGGGACGGAAGAGCAGAGGGCAGGGTGGCATGGGAGCTGAAGTCAGAGAAATCCTGCTAACAGCCAAGGCCGGGGCCACCTCTCGGTCTTGGACACAGCTTGTGCCTAATTCACTGTCTTCATCTGCTTATGGGCTCTGCTCAGCCCTGTCTTCTCTGCTGGCTCCCCTTATTTCCTTGACCTCCGGGGCTGCAGTGCCCTTGGGCCTCAGTCTACACGCACTGATGATCTCAGCTGTTCCCACCTGCTGATGACTGCCAGTGCTGGCCTCCAGCCCAGGCTTCTCCCTTGAACCCAGGACCCCCCACTTGGAAGTCCGAACTTCACACTTCCTATGTTCAAAACAGATTCCTGCATCAACCCAGACCCGTTCCTCCCTTAGGCCCCCATACCGAAGACAGTCTTGACTCTGGCCAAGGCCTCCATGACATCCTTGGCCCCGCTCTGTCACACCCCACATATAATTCATAGCAAACCCTGTTGTTCTGAGTCTTCTCCCCTCTGCTGCTACCTCTGGGCCTGGCCCTCACCATCCCTCACCTGTGATCATTGCAATAACCTCCTCTGGCACTTCTATCCCCCTGGGAGGGGTGGCAAACAGCGTCCCCTGAAAATGTAAGCCAGTCTCTGCACAACCCCTCGAGTGAGTGCCCATCTCTCTTGAGAAATCAGAGTCCCAAGAGTAGCCTACGATGGCCTGCCATGAGCTGTACCTGCCAACTCTCCCCAGCCTCATCCTCCACTCTGTCTTGGCTCACTGGGCGCGCCAGCCACGCTAGCCTTGCTGGTGCTAAGGCTCATCCTCATCAGGACTGTTGCCCCTGCCCCTCTCTGCATGTGATACCCCCAATGCACACCTGCCTCTCCCCCCAGCTTCCCTCAGATCTCTGCTCCAGGGTCGCCTCACCCCCGAGCCTCTGCCTTAGAGCAGCCCCCTCCCTGCTGTATCATGCCCCACAGCACCTTTTACTCTTAGACACATTGCGTCATGGTTTACCAGATGTCTCCTCTCACTAGACTGTAAGTTTTGTGGGGACTGAGCCTGCTTGGTTCACCGCCATGCCCCCAAAATACTTTTGGATGATTTGAATGACTAGTGACCGAGGGAAGGGGGAAGCCACTCAGGCCCAGGCAGGAGGACAGGAACAGACCCTCAAGGCACACAGAATCCCACCCAAAGCTTTCAGCACACAAGCTCTTGCTTACCCTCAGCAGGTCATAAAGGAGCTCCATCTCATTCTTGCCCCGGGGCTTAGGCTGGTCCCCCATAAATTGCATCAGAGCTGCAGGCAGGATGAGAAGCATGGGGAGCTGGGTTGGGGGCCTGGTTTTGGCTCATGCTGTCGCCAGACAGGGCTTTCCCTGTCATCTCATGCCTTGCTCCCAAAAATGCATGTGAGCCAGGCAGAGCAGAGCAGTCTCCTCTTTACTGATGAGGAAACAGGGCTCAGAGAGGTTCCGTGGGCACCTGAGGCTGCTTATAGCACGTAGACATCTGGAAATAGCACTGCCTTCCTGCCCAGACTCCACGCAACCCACCATCCCTTGGGAGTGAGTAGAAATAGGTGAGAGCTATGGGGATTCAGTAACCACCAGTGAGCTTCCCTGAGTTGACAAACAAGGACAGAAGGCAACCTGGCGCCTAGGTCCGAGGCACCACAGACACGGGGACTCAGGATGCTGTGGTCACTCACCCTGGAAGCTTTCCACAGCCTGCCTGTTTGTGTCCTCATCACTGAGGCTGATGAGCGATTCTCGTATGGGAGCCTGTGGCCAAAGAGACTGGGTTGTGGGTCTGGGGTCCATGGGAGCCAGCGGGCAGGTCCACTGGCCCGACTCTTCCCCACCTGTCTCCCTCACCTTGCTGTACTGCACGAGGCCGGCCATGGCCTTCTTAGCATCTCCACCGGTGTGGTCCAGCCTGAGGGGGCAGAAGCAAGGACAGCCCTGCTTGCTCGGCCCTCCCGCCCCCATCACAGGTTGTGTCGGGAGGGTGCTAAGAACACTGGCCCGGTGGCTCCGAGCGGGGAGGCCCACTTCGGGGAGGCCGAGGATGGGCAGGCAGAAGGGTGGGCCCAGGGCACTCACAAGGTCTGGGGCTTCCGGAAGTGGTACAGGGCAAATTCCTGCATGGTGTAGTGGCGGGAGTCCGTGGACAGAGAGATGGAGGCTACAGAGTCATCGCTGTGTGCCTGGCTCCGGGGGCGGGCATGGCGCTGGGAACACAGGAGACCTCATGCCACCCGAGGGCCCCCGGCCTGTCTGGAGGCCCTGCCCAGCCCCCCGCCCAGCCCCCCGCCCAGCCCGAGCCAAGGGGAGCAGGCAGAGCAGCAGTGAGCACACCACCAGAAGCCAGGGAAGTCCAGAGGCCTTTACTGAGCATCTTCTAGGGCAGCACTTAATGAAGTGCTGCGAGGGGGCACAAAGGGCGCACGGCCCAGCCCCTGCCCGCAGGGGGCTCACACTCTTGCTGGGGAGACAAGAAATCGGGAAGGGCAGAGGGGCAGCATCAGACCAAGCGCTACCCTAGCCAGGAGGCAGGTGGTCCTGGCCGCTCAGGGGAAATCGAGCCCTTTCTGTCCTCGACATGTTAGGCTTCGCCTCCGCCTCTCCCGTCTTCCTCACCTCCGCTGCCCTCTCCCACTGAGCCAGCCCTGGCTCTCTGTGCTGCAGCTGACTCTTGTGCCGGCCACTCCTCTCTAGCAAGAAGGAAAAGTCTGGGGCAGCAGCTGGCTGAACTATGTCGGCAGGGAAGAGTCCAGAACGGCCCCCGGTGGAGCCAAACTGCCAGCCTGGAAGGTATCCGACCGAGGACAGCGCCTCACCCACCTGGCCCCTCTGCCCCTCCCAGGCTCTGCCATGTGCTGGCCCCGCCCCCCCCGTGCCGACTGCCCTGCTTTCCCCCAGGGATACCGGGCTCCAGCGAGGCCACTGGCAACAGCTTGATGAGGTCCCCACGGTGGAAGCTGAGGAGGCTGTGGTCATCGGTGATGTAGCTTCGCAGGGCGATGACGTAGCTGGAGTCCTACAGGCAGGAGGGGGAGTAGGCAAGGGAGCCAGCCTGCCTGCGACCCCAGTCCTTCCGGCCCCACCTGCTCCCCCTGTTGGCCTCACTCCCCACCCAGCAGTCCAGAGTTCCAGGAATCCGGCCTGAAGGCCCAGCCCCACCCCGGGCCGCTTGACGGAGCTTGGCAGACAGCTCCGGGACCAGCCAGACCAGACGCAGCCCGGGTGGAGGCCCCCCTACCCGGCCCGGGTCCCCCAGCCCAGCTGCCCACCAGCCCCCTGCCCGGCCTACACTTGCCTTCTTGAGCTCACTCAGGAACAGCTCAATCATGGCCTTGACGGCACTCGCCCGGGCCGTGTGCAACACCAGCTGCTCACTCTTCAGTGACAGCTCCAGGGTGGAGCTGCGCGGGCACTCCACGCCCAGCACCTCAGCAAAGCTGTGCACAGGCGGAGGCATGAGCTGAGAGCCGGCTCGCCCCCGCCAGCCCCCGGCCCAGCCCCCGGGCCAGGTTCACCTGTATGAGCACAGAGTCTTCAGCTGGTTCGGGTGGAAGTCGGGGCCTTTGGTCGCCTTGAGCAGTCTCAGTCCCCGGTGGGACACGCCCAGCAGTTGCACATCACTGCTGCTCTCACCCTGCCCAGAGGGAAGGTGGCTGGGTCACAGACAGGCTCCTGGTCCCCACCACCATCCAAGACGCCCCGGGGCTACTCAGGGCCTGTGCTGCTCTTCGTCCTTCCGTTGGGGCCCACTCCAGCCCTGGCTCTCATCCCTGCCACAAAGGCCCATGCTGAGCGTGCTGGGATCCAGACCGGGGTGCTGGCGTCCCCAGCCCTACATCCAGCCCCACTGACCGAGACAGGGAAAATTCGGGAGAAATAATTGGCCCAGTTGTCCCTAGCGGCCACCACGATGCGCTTCTTGACACTGTCCTCAGTGGTGTTGAGCGAGTCCAGACCCACCTCCAGGTCTCCTGTGGGCAGGAACGACCCCAGACTGTCCTCGGGCTCCCTCAAAGGGGGGACCCCAGAGTTTGCCCCCTCCCTCCAGACAGACCTAGTCCCAGCACTTAGGCCCCTGATTCCCGGGTCCCTGGACCCTACCCAGCAGCTCTTTCATTTTGCTCCGCTCATCCTGGGAGATCCGGATGCAGGACTCGGCAAAGGTGTCCCTCAGGATCTGGGGGCAGAGCCAAGAGGTCACCACCAGGTCCCAGTGCCAGAGCCCACCATGGAGGCAGCCACACATGGAGGAAAAGCTGGAGAGCCTCGTGGGCACGGGTGGAGCAGGGAGGGATGTGGGGCCTCTGAGCCCAGGGCCGCCCCCCCGCCTCCCACTCGCCTCCCTCAATCACCCGCACTAGCGGGTTACCGCTGCTCGGTCAGCTGAGATGAATTCCCTGAAGGAACAGAACCGGGCGGGGGAGGAGGGGAGACTGCTTTGGAGTTTGGGGGAAGAGGCAGGGTCCCGGGAGCATCCAAGGGCGGCACAGGAACAAGCATCAGCTGCTGAGTGCCAGGGCCTGTGTTGGGGACCGTATACACTTTATTTTGAATCTTCACTGCGGGCCAGTAATGGTCCTTACTCTCAGGGATGTGGTGAGGATGAAGTAAATGAAGGCAGGGCTTGAAACACAGCCCCTGCCCTCTAAGTGCTGGCTGCCCTCACGCCTCTCGCACTGATGGTGACCTGCCCAGGTGCGGGCGCAGTCCGTCTGCCCATGCGCAGGTGGCCCGGGCTCTCACCTGCTCACAGAGGAGCCTGAGGCAGTAGGGGTGGCTGAAGCTCTCCCGGGGGTAGAACACCTGCAGGAGAGCAGGGGCGAGGAGAACAGGTGGGAATGGTGCCCCCTCCCCGCCTACCTCCCAGCCCACCTCTGCCTCCCAGACCCGGAAGGAAAACCAGGCCTGAGGAGGTGGGTCGTGGGGAGGCAGCCCTCAGTGTTTGTGTATGGGGAGATGCTGGGGTCCCACCACAGCCTGCCGCCCCTCCCCAGCCCAGAGAGAGGCCCGGCTGCGGCCCCGGCCTAGTGCCCACCTCCTTGCGTAGGAACAACCTCCAGGGCGGGTTGACGTAGGAGAAGCACACACTGCCGGAAGGCACGAGCAGCTGGGTGGAGACTCCCTGGTCCTCCATGGGCTCCATCCAGCCTGGCAGAGGGAGGGGCCAAAGAGCTTCAGGGGAGGACCTGCCAGAGCCAGAATGATGGGGACACGGGGACAAAAGACCGTCCCCTCCCTCGGGCCCTGCGAGGGCTCGGCCTACTCAACCTTTGCTGCCTCCCTCCTGTCCACATCCCGTCTCCGGCCTCCATTTCCAGCCTCAGACTTTCCCTGCTGCCCCTGACCACGTCAGCAGGGCCACTAAGTTCCTGATGGAGCTGCCAGGATGCACCGAGGACAATATCCCGAGACAGTCCCTCAGTGCCACAAGAGCCCCAGAGGTACCCGTGCCCTGCCCTGGACGGGAATGCGGAAGCTGGGGCTCCTTGCCCATGGCTCCAAAGTCCGGAGCCCCGAGCGCCTGAGCGGCTGACCTCGCAGCCTTGGGCACTGAGAGGCTTCTGGGAACACTGCCCGCCCCAACGAAGCCCACCACAGAAGGCTAGAAGGTTCCTTACCGCGGGGCCCAGCTGAAGGGGTCCCTGGTTCCTCAGGCAGAGGCAGTGGGGGCGCTGGTGGAGGGGAGGGTGCCCGGGCAGCAGGCGGAGTCTGGCCAGAGAGACCCTGGTTCCCCTTGGTGGAGCTGGAGGGCCCAAGCTGTGGCGGGACCTTGGGGCGAGGGGCCACAGCTGGTGGGAGGCCCTTCCCTGAGCTGGGGGATGGCGTCTGGGGAGGCACAGAGAACGGACACAGCTGGCTAGGGGTAAGGCCAAATTTACCCCAGAGAGCCTTGGACCCCCGAGGTGAGAAGCCACGCCCTGGACGGGATGGAGCCTCACCGGCATGCACGCGTGGGCACCGCTGATCCCCAGCTTAGCCAGAGCCTCATCCTTAGGGTTGTTTTTCTTCAGGAAACTTTGTGGGGGCTTCCTGAGAGAAGGAAGAGGTCCTAAGCGCACAGAGCGCCTCCCGGGGGAGTGGGCAGCCCTGGTCGCCCCGAGGCCCACCTGGATGGCTGCACGGGCACGGGCACGGGGCCCGGGCGACTCTGGTACATGCGGATGATGTTGCGAATCTCCCTGCTCGGTTCTGCCCGCCGTTGGGGGGCTGGCTCAGGGTGACCACCAGGCCCCACCCCTGGGGCCGCTGGCTCAGCCTCGGCCTCTTGTGCCCCTTTGGCTCTACCTCGTGTCAGTGGCTTCTTCACTATGGGGGGCGGTGGGGGGGATGGCACTGACCAGGAGGAGAGGAAACGTGTGAGACCCTGCACAGACCCACGGCGCCAGGGCTCCCCCGCCCCCCGAGTCCCCACCACCTGCTCTTGGATTCTCCTCCTGCTCCTGTTCCTCCTCCTGTTCCTGCTCCTGGGGGATCTGTACCTTGGGTGGAGGCTTCACTGTCTTCACCTTGATCTGCTGCTGCCCTGTAAGTGCCCCAGGTGACCCGATTACTCTCCGTGGCGTGCCCAGCGGTCTCCTGGACAGGCCGGCCACCCCAAGCACGCTCACCCATCTTCTGGAAATAGTCCTGTTTCTGCTGGAAGCTCCTGGGCCGCTGGGGCTTCTCTCGGGCCTCCTGTGAGGTCTCCTGTGGGCAGGAAGGGGAAGTGAAGGAGCAGCCCCGCCAGCCAAGTCGCCCCTCTCCCAGCACCGCCCCCCCCCGCCCCGCCCCATCCCTGTGGGGTCTCCCGGCCACGCAGCCCTGCCACCTGCCCGGCCTCGGCTCCTCCCCTCAGACAGGCACCCACCGATTTCAGCTCTTGCTCTGGCTCCCCGCGTGGGGCCAGGGGCTTCTTGGGCTTGGGGGCAACGGCTGGGGGTGAGCTCGGCGAGGCAGCTCCGGGGGCCCGGGCCTGAGGCTGAGCCTGGTGGTGGCGCTGCTGTGTCTGCTGCTCCAGCGACAAGGTCATGGCCTGGGCGGTCATCTGCTGGGCCTGGTGGGGGGAGGGGGCGGCGGGCCTGGTAAGAGCGGCTCCGGCTCTGCCCCGCAGACCTGGCCCCGCGAGGCCCTCTGAGGGCCCTGCCCACCCTCACCAGGATCAGCGCCTGCTGGGTGATGAAGTTCTGCTGCTGGGCCACCAGCTGCCTCGGGTCCACGCTGGGAAGCAGGGGCTGCGGCTGCAGCGGCGGCACCATGGCTGCAAGTGGCATGCAAGTGCCCAGCTGGCACGTGGCCCCCTGCCCACTGCGCCCTCCGGGCCCCAGGGAGGACCTCCCTTCCTCCCTTCCTACCTGGGAAGGGAGCCGCCACCCGGCCTTACCTGGCACGGCAGGGACTGCGCCCATCGCTGGCATCATGGGCACGGGGGCTGGCATCATGGCTGGCTGGTATCCGGGCATCTGCATCATCCCTGGGTAAACTGAGGGAACAGGGCCCCCCCGGGGTCGATCCTTATCTGGGCCCGCAGACCCCCTCCCTCCAGCTCCAAGCAACAAGAAGAGGATGGGCCCCCAGGGTGCTGGCTGGAGCTCTGACCCCAGTTGCCTGGGGGTCCCGGGCCGTGCTTGCCCATGCTGCTGGGCTGGGGAGACCCTGGATGGATGCTCGGCCCTGCACTCACCCATGGGGTAGCTGCCTTGCTGCATGGGCCCAATGGCGCCCCCTCCCTTCATGCGGCTGCTCAGAGCCCAGCCTTGCTCCAGATCCTGTAGGGACAAAGGCCACAGGCCACAGGGTCAGAACTGGAGCCCTGGGAGGGATGGGAGAGGCAATGGAGGCCCCGGTGGGGTAGGGGCAGGGATGGGGTCGGGTGTATGTGCAGAACACTCACGCTGTGGCCCGGGGAGAGGACTGGCTGGAAGAGGTGGTCCAGGAAGCCATCCAGGTTCCCTGAGGTCTGAGACTCCCCTGTGGGGCCAGAGGAGGGTGTCACCCTGGGGTGTGGGGCACCCTGCACCCCCATTCGCATTGCACTGCCAACCTCGCTGTGCCCATTCTGGCCTTACCTGACTGGCTCCTGCTGGGTAGTGCTGGGGCCGGCCCCGGGGGTGGACCTGGGGGCAATGGAGGGGCCTGGATGCTAGGGGCGGGGGGGATGGCCTCAGCTCTGCAGGAGACAATGGGCCCAGCTAAGGGGGTGCCTTGGATAGGGGTGGTGTCCAGGCTGAGGCAAGGAATAGAATCTGCTGTGGGGGGTCATCCCCGTGGGGTGGGAGAAGCTGAGGTGTGTGTGGGGGGGTGCTGGGCCTGTAGCAGGTCCTGCGAACCCCGGGGTGTGATAGGGTGGCTATGGGGGTCACCTATGACAGAACAGAGACAGGAACAGGCTGGGACAGGGGTGCTGGGGTGGCACCTACAAGCCACGGGGGGCAATGGGGTAGCTGTGGGGACTGACTGGGTCCCCCAGGTCCTCAGTCTGGCCGATGAGGTCCAGCACAAAGTCACAGCCCACCAAATCCTGCCAGGAGTCCCCGGAGTGCAGTGACACGGACCAGCCACGGGGGGGCAGCTCCAGGCCTCTGGGAGGGACAAAGGGGCGCCATAGGGAGTGATCAGCCAGGAAGATGACCACCCCGAGGGTACCCAAGGGGAGGCGGCTGAGGAAGGCAGAATCTGGGTGAGGAGCTGGTTTCCTCAGACAGCTCTCCTTTATTCGCACCTCACGACCTTCTGCTTCCACATCGGCTCTGATGCACCCATTTATTTACTGACCTATTTCATTACAATCTGGACCATAGATATAACCTCTACTCTTGCTCCCTAGCTTGAACCTACTGTCTGGCTCCTGCCCACTTACCCCTCTGTGCCCCCCGCCCCGCCAACGCCCTCGGGGAGCAGGCTTTGGCCCTGGGTTTGCAGGAGTCTCGCTCTCCATGACAGGAGAGTGGGCAGGGAGGATGAGGATGGGACAGGGGTCCGTGTTGGCTACACTCCCCATCCCAGGTCCCCGTACCTGCTCTGCAGAATCCACCCGGCGAATTGCTCCCCCGTGGTCCAGGACTCCACCTCGGCTGAGTAGCATTCCTCTGTAGGGACAAGGGGTGGGGGCTGGAGTGAGGGGCAGCAGGTCCTTCCTGACGGGAAGGGGCTGCTGTCCCCATGGGGGTTCCAGAAGCAGGACAGAAGGACAGCAGGACAGGACCCTGTGATCAGAGTCACAGGGGGAGCAGCTAGAGGGCTGAGGCAGGAAGGGGGTCCAGGGAGGGTGAGGAGGCAGGGCTGGCTCCACTGTGGGCCTGGGGAGGCCTGAGCAGAAGGTGAGCATCACCAGTGAAGGTAAAGACGTCCAGAGCCATGCGGCCCCGCCGCCGCCCGGCGGTCCACTCGAGCTGGGTCGGGGGGTGGGCCCGTGCCATCCCAGGAGCCAGATGCGTCTGCTCCAGGGCCCCCAGCAGCTTGTGCTGACACAGCGCTGCCATGCCTCTGGGGGCCTGGTTGGACACAAATCTGCGGGGACAGCACAGGGCTGCTGTGGGGGTGGGCAGTCCACCGATCCCACTCACTGGGCCCCGCAAGGCAGGCCCCTTACTTCAGCAGTGGCTTCTGTAGGGTGGGCATGGGGGGAAAGGCGCTGAGCAGGATGGCCATGAGGACCCAGCTGCGCTGGTTCTGCTGCTCGTCCGCGTTGTGCCAGATCTGGGCCACGAGCTGGCTGAAGAGCTCGTCCCGCAGCCCTGGCCGGCGCTGGCCCTGTCGCACCAGGTATTCGCCCATGCTCTGCTCCTGCCAGGGGGGCAGGGACCCATCCCCCAGGAGCCGCAGCATCTGTAGACGGGGAGCAAGGCGAAGGCAGGACATGCAGGGCTCCCCTGGCGCTCAGCCAGCACCCAGGAGCCAGGGTCCCCCACCCCGTCCCCTCCCCGATGCGTCACTCACCACCTTGTTGATATCCAGGGCATGCTGAGGGTTCTCACCATCCAGCCGGGTCAGGGGCTTGGCCAGCGGCTGCCCAGGGCTGGGCAGGGCTGGCTCCTGCAAGGAGGGGGGAGACAGCACCTGAGCAGGTGCTGGTCTGTGCTGACCTGCTGGAGATAGCCCGGCGGAGCCCACGGGAGCGCGCGCCCTGGGAGACAGAGAGCGGCTGGCGAGGAAAACCACCTTAGAAATGCATCTCAGTGGCTCTTTCTGATTAGAAAATTGATGCCCATGCATGCAGAAAACATGCAAAAGGATAAAGAATAAAAAACCCATTACTATTTCCCTGCCAGTCGTGACCACAGTTGACATTTTAGCTTCTCTTTCCAGTCTTGCTTTTTTTTTTTTTCCCCAAGATTTTATCTATTTATTTGACAGAGAGAGAAAGAGCGCAAGCAGGAGGAGCAGCAGAGGGAGAGGGAGAAGCAGGCTCCCCAAGGAGCAGGGAGCCCGATGCGGGGCTCGATCCCAGGACCCCGGAATCATGACCTGAGCCGAAGGCAGAGGCTTCACTGCCTGAGCCTCCCAGGCGCCCCCTCCAGTCTCGCTTTCTACGCACAGATACCTACATCGCCCTCCCACACCTATTGTTGTTTTTAACAAAACTGGGATTCTACTCTATGTCCAGTTTGGAATCCTGCTTTTGTATCCAACACTGCAGCCTGGACGTTTGCCTTATCGTCACACACACGCTAATGACATGACTTCAACGGCAGGACGATGCCGCAGGGGTAACCAAGTTGTGGCATCACGGATCTCAGTTCCTCTTGAGAGTGAGACATTTGGCTTCAGGGGCTATTCTCCAAGCAGTGTGGCTGCACCCATCACCCCCGTGATAGGAGAGGATGGGTGGAGTGGGAAGAAGGAATAGGCCCAGCTTCTGCCTGGCAGGGCTAATATCTGGGGAGCCGTGGAGGTCCGCCAGGGAGAGCCGAGGTCTGGGGGCCCACCTGAAAGTTAGTGGAGATGAAGCTGGAGAACGGGAACTGGTCGATGTCGGGTGGGAGGGTCAGGCTGCTCCGGGCAGGAACTTCAGGGGGCATGGACTCGGTGATGCTCCCAACCAAGGCATGGTGATGGCCTGGGGAAAGCGCCGAGAGGCAGCCCAGAAAGGCCGACATAAGGCACCCGGCTGTGGACCGCCTCCACCCCTCATTACCCGCCCCCAGCCCTGGGGCAGAGGGAGCCCAGGGGAGCCCAGAGCATCACAGGGAGGGACCGCGGGGACAGACTGACTGCACAGCAGAGAGATTGGAGGAGCGAGGGATCATGGTAAGAGGGACACCAACCAAAACCCACCTTCTGCTGTCTTTAGCATGACGGCCACCTCAGCCGGGATCTCCAAGCGCCCCAGCTCCTGGCAGAGAGGAGCGATCGACTAAGTACTAAAGGAGGGGGTCCAGGGACCCAGTGTCCCTCCTCACCCCCAGGACCATAAACTTTTCCAAAGATCAAGGATTCTGATCCTGGACACAAATAGGACCCCAAGAGCCCTCAGAAGGAGACCGAGGGCGGCCCAGGCCTCTTCTTGGGGGGCCCAAGGGATGCACACCCAGGACCCCACACTCGTCCGCAAGCCATGCCAGTTTTGGGAGGCTCATAACCCAGTGGACACCCTTGAGCTTCCAGGCCACCTACCATGTTTGGCGCTGTCTTGGAGGCTGGGCCACTGTGCCAGCCACACCGAAGCCCAAGCTGCTGAGGGAGATGTGAGAGGAGCTGGTGCCCCGGTGAGGGGTCTCCGTGAACCTCCTGGCAGATCTTCTCCACCTCAGCAGTTCAGCTGCCCCCTCCGGCCCCCAGTGGAGAAACTAGCCCAGACCCAGAGGGGCCAGCTGCCTGCCGCCAGCCCTCCAGAGCCCTCACCGGCCGTTGCTGCCCGTCTGCAGGGGCGCTGGGGAGGAGGTAGGAAGAAACGGTCCCAGGGGACAAAGTCCAGCCAGGGAGGGGCCACAGAGAGGAGCAGTATGTGGGCGCTGACCTTTGAGCGGCTTTATGGCCCCCATGTTGGAGTCATCAGGCAAAAGAGGGAAGCAGGCCGGCCCTGAGGAAGGTCTGGAGGGGATGGGAAGGCACCCCCGGCAGGCAGGGGAGACTCACACTCTGGAGGGTGGGCAGGGATGAAGGAAGTGACCTCCCGGAGGCCCCAGCCTCCCTTGGCCAGGCAGCGGGAAATGGGAAGAGCTGGGCCAGCCGTGGTCTCTGAGCCCTCGGCGCTTGGGCCAGGAGTGACTCAGCTACGGTCCGGCCAACTTGGCCAGCAAGGCTGCCTGACTTCTCTACCCTGAGCTGCCAGGGGCAGCAGCCCCACCCAGACACTCACCTGCAATCTCTGTCGCCTCCGGAGCAGGGGCCGGGCCACCAGCAGGACGCTGTTCAGCTGTCCCAGAGCTGCCCGCCGCCGGAGGTATCGCTTCCTGAAGGCCGGGAAGGGGGTTGGGGAGGAGTTCGAGCTTAGAGCCGGTACCCAAACCCTCCAAGCCGAGACATGAATGTAGACACGGACCCCAGGCCGATGACCCCTAGGTCCTTAACAGAAGCCACAGGGAAAGGACAGGACAGCTTGAAAGAACAAGTACATTGAGAAGGGGTTTGGTACCGTGGATTACGGTCTCAGGTGGCAGAGCCAACCGCTGGGCTCATTTCCCACCCAGTCGGTCAGTGTGGTTGTGGGTAAGTCCCTTCCTCTTGGTTTTATTGTCCTCATCTGCGAAGTGAGGATCCGTGTAATCCCTGCCCCACCACAAGATGAAGTCAATCAATCGACATGTTGAGAAGTGTCTGGCGTATTTTTATTTAAGAAGCAGAACTTCTAAAAATGAAAAAATGCTATCACTGGAAATCTAATAAGAGATCACAAAAGAGATCATGTCTTTGAAAACTGTCCAGATACAAGAAAGACGAGACTCCTCACGGAAGGAGTCCTGAGCAGGATTAAAATTTAAAAATAAGTATATAGCTTTGAGGCGGCCGGCTGGCTCAGTTGGTAGAGCATCTCGGGGTCGTGAGTTCAAGCTCCAAGTTGGGGGTAGGGTTTACTTAAAAAAAATAAATGTACAGCTTTTGTGCGAAGGACACCATCAAGAGCGTCAAAAGACAACCCATGAAATGGGAGAACATTTGCAAATTACGTATTTGATAAGAGTTTGATATCCAAGATGTATAAAGAACTCCCACAACTCAACAACAAGACAAACTATACAAACAAAAGGCAGACTGAGAACTTGACTAGACATCTCTCCAAGAAGATACACAACTGGCCAAGAAACACATGAGAAGATGCTCAACCTCGTTAGTCATTAGAGAAATGCAAATCAAAGCCACAATGACGTATGGCTTCATGCCCACTAGGATGGCTATCATTTAAAAAGCGGAAAATAAGGGTGCCTGGGTGGCTCAGTGGGTTAAACATCTGCTTTCAGCTCAGGTCATGATCTCAGGGTCCTGGGATCGAGCCCCGCATCGGGCTCCCTGCTCAGCAGGGAGTCTGCTTCTCCCTCTCCCAC